TTGATGAGGCCAGATGCAGAAGAAAAGGCAGGTGCTGGTCCATCAATGGTGATTAGACTGGACTTCTGCTCCTGATACAGACAAACATGCGATAGGACAATTCCTTTACATCATACAAGTTCTTTATAATCAAACATGTTAGATCTGTTGTGCGTGTATATAAAATTGTGAAGATACATATAAATATGCAAAAATACAGTATGAATATCATGAAACTTAAATGCAAGGAAATGAAGAGTAAACAACTAGGAGGTATGATAAGAATTCAATGTAAACACACTATATAACCAACAAATGCAGCAATACAAATATGGATATACTGTAAAGAATCAGCAGTATGAATATGTAGACACTGTGGGTCTGATTTAATCACAGTGGTATACACAAGTCTTACTTTTAAAAGTGAATGATAGCATGTTACTCACCTAGACCCTCCTCCCTGTCTGGACTCTCTGCCGTTGGTGAGACAGGTAGAACCGGTATTGCATCTGTACTGGGTCAGGTCCTGATAAAGACAGAGAGATGCTGACACCTCCTGATGTAAATAAATAGTGCACTTTCAGTCATGGCTGATCTCCTAACAGAAATGTAAAGTGGTTACAACATGGTGAGCCGATCGACGTGTATTCACTCGGTCTACTGGGTCCATACAATCTCAAGTTACAGGCATCAGTGACAAAAGCAGCCTAAAGTTACTGACGTCACTAGCTGTACAACAGCCGAGAGCAACAGACACAATCCTACTAACCGCTAAAACGTCTGTCGACAACGTCAATATCACCACCTGAAATGTTTGTCGCTACGGTTTGTCAGTCGTTGCACTGATTATACTGCTTCAGAGCTAGCATTGAAGCTACTCACAGGGCTAACAGGAAAGTTGCGAGCTCGGCATCAAACTGCATCTCTTTACTCTCAGGAGCCGTCTCCAGCGGTGGAAAGCCACATCGAGATTTACTCGTGTTGCTTCTTTTCTTTGCCGTTGAACGTGGTTTCTTGTCGGGAGCGGTCCTTCGGGATGCAGATGAATATTACCTTTTAGGAGGTTCAGCCATTCCTGTGTTTCTGTGACGCTAACCTTGAGCTGCCGGAAGTTGTTCTTCTTCGTGGGACTGAGACCAGACTTGACGCTCCGCTGACTCACACAGCGTCTGGTGTCACAAAGTGGTATTACAACACAGGACAGGTCGGGGCTGGCTGGTGCGCATGCGCATTTCAGTAGATAACTGAAATACAACAGATGGAGATCTTAAACCATGACATCGTCATTGTGGCTGCTTCACACACTGTTGTGAGTGTTAATTCGTTTTCTTTTTAACATTTTAAACTAAAGTTCTGGTCACATCTTATATTGCACCTTTACAGCACAATCACCAAAGCTGACATTTAATAGTAAAGCTACATGTTCTTTGCCCACATTGCAAACCGACTTACAGTTTTGACACTTAATGTAAAACAAAGACATTGAGCTTAACCTGACTGATATTGACACATTTGATGCATACAAAACATATTGTGATTTGCTTTGACAGTATACAAATCTATGCTTGGAAAATAAAATACAATCATGCTTTCCCTTATACTTACATTCAATTTGTGATGTACAAATGTTTGTATTTGCCCATTTTGCATTCAGGCCAGTAGATGTTGCACTGTTCACATGAAGCATCAAGATATAAACCCTTTGTGGAACCACTTTGCTGAGAAAGTAAAACCTCAGACGCATCCAGTACCAGGCAGTTGATTTCTGCAAGCAAAGAAGATACGACAGCCCGGGAAGTATTTTACAGTATTTCACTTACTGACGGCGGACTGCTCATAGAGCCGGGTTTCAGTTCACTACAACCACATTGGCTTCTGGCATCCATCTTCCCAGTCACCGTATGTTGGCAGGCTTTGTGTTACGACCCAGCTAGGGGAAAAGGAAGGCAACATAAAAACAGGTGTTATTGGTAAATCAGATTTACTGATTTAATTTATTGCGTTAACAGGAGGGTAAATAAGTAAACAATTATACAAGCAAGGCAAGAGGACAACTCAAGTAGGGGAACAGGAGCCAACAAAGAGCCTAACTATGTGATTCTAACCAACCCAAAAACACAAGAAGCAGCACCCCTGTTCCTAATGTGTCCAACAGTCTTTTTCTAAGGGTGTGATGCACAATCAGAATTTTAAACCTAGCCCAGTCCTCAACAATCACTACCAGCATCCCAAACCAAATCACAAATTACACACAAATGTTCACAAAGGAGGCACAGAGGCGAGCTGCATATCATGTCAGCCGCCACTAATGATGTGCGGGCCGGGCTCTTAAACTCTCTTCCTCTGATGCTTAAACGGCAGCAGCTGTGGTGAGGGCTGTCAGGATCATTGCCGCACCAATAGGAGAAGATGGCCGTGGAGTCGGAGGCTCCTCCTCTCTGCTCCGACCAATCCGGTCACAGAGGCAGCGCAGCCTTATTAGCATACAGACAAAACACACTTTAAAACCCAGGTGACTGAGCTGAAGCTCAGTTGAACATATTTTTATATCATGCAGAAAGTTGAACAAGAAAGAGCTGAACTGATGACACAATTATGGAAGATTGCACCAGTAGAGGATAATATTAAAAGTTCTAGAAAATTCCTGGAGAACTTTTGAACGTGCCTCCTGCTTGGTGCGTGTGCTTCACTCCTCAAGTATCAATCTTTACAAACGCCATTACATTGAGTGTCAGTCATGTCGTAGAGACTCATCCTGACACTGATCTCAGTCACTGCAGGTGTCCCTCTAAAAGCCGTTTGAAGCTGTCACGACTGGCCAAAATAACCTCACACTGATGGTTTCAAACACAAATTTGTCCCCACAACCACAGCAAGACATGTATACACACATGTACATGCCCTAACAGAAGCTGATCTGCAATAAAGCTGTACCTCTATATCCCCATACAGAAGATAGATGAGTCATTTTATGAAACGGGAGCCATTTGGGTCTGCAACATTTGATGAGATGCATAAGGCACAAAAATGTGCAAAAGTAGGTTTCCAAATCTTAAAACCATTAAGTCAAGTACTCTTACCATGATATTAAATGAGAAAATACTATTTATAAAGACTAACATAGTATTTTTAGCCATTTTTCGTTAGAACATGAACAACTTGACATTTGTATCAAAAAATATCACCATTAAATGTTGTTTTTTATCAAACCTTTATTATTGTCAGGATTATATGTGTGTCCCTATTTACATAAGATATTTTTTTTTAATAAAAACATACTTTTTTGTAAAAATGTAATGATTTGTGTGTGTCCCTCATTTTGATTTACCACCCGTCACATTAACATGTTTTGTCTATAAACAATGTACTGTTGCTTTTAACTGACATCACAGAGAGTAAGTGACATCATTTGAGGCTTTGGAGCAGCCAGGAACTAAAGCAGGCAAGTTCTGACCGGCACATAACAAATGTCTAAACAGCTGGTCTGTCTTCTCATCAGAGGAAGCTGAACTGAAGTGGTTTTCTGGCATCATCATCATCATCATCATCATCATCACCGCCCATTTGAGAACTAAGGATGTCCGTGCAGTCTCCTTTGTCCATACATGAGGTCCTCCTTCTGTGGGCACCAGTCATTCAGTTTTCAGTGTGGATTCCTTTGAATGACAGTAAAAGACAAACACTTTAGTTCAGACATGGTGGATCACAGTTAATCACACACATATACCAGCTGTCAGGACAGGTGCATGAATACCTGCTTCAGTTGAGGACTTCTGTGTATGAATTCACAGTATTAAATGACAAACCCCCACAAGATAATGTTCTAGTATACATTGTGTATTGAACTCAATACAACAAGATACCAGCGAGAAGAGGAGACAGAAAATAAGTTAATGAGATAAAACTGAATGTTTTGCTGCATGTAGGAAAATTCTATCAGCCACATGAGAGTGAGTTAATTGTTCAACTATATTTATCCTTGTCCTGCAAATGTTTGCATGTTTGGGACAAGGTACGGTTACCATAGCAAACACTAAGTAATCAGCTAGCTAGCTAGCTAGGTTAGCAAAGTGCATTTGTAATTCACATTAACTCTAATATTAATTTGGATGTTAACTGTCTCCTGTTCTCCGGTCAAAACACGTAGGGAAAAAACGCTCCAGCTTTTAGGAGCATCATACACGTTAAAACTGTTGGACGTTAAAGAAAATAAACATTTACTTACCGAAAGAAACTGTTTATCAGCGTCTCTCCAGTGTGTTAGTGCCGAAGAACGAGCCATAATTACTGTGAACCGAAAACTCATTAAAACTAAAGAACTAACAGTAAAACTGTCAGTGCAAAATTCCTCCTCCGCCGACAAATATTAAGAAAAATAACAGAAATTTAACACAACTGATTCAATACGATGCACACACGACCCAAGCTCCCCTCCGGTGATCGACCTCCCGGCCTGCCGCGTCATCCGATCAATCATTGCAGACCAGGCATATCAATCAAACAGACACGCCCCCAAAAATACCTGTTTTTAAGGCCTAATATCTAATTAATTAGATGATTATTTTCAGATGGACCACCAGAACACTGAACGAGAGGTGTGAATTTAGCCCATCACACCGTATCGACTGAGTATTTCATGAGAGAAGTTGGTGTTTTTTGAATGAGTGTGTATTGGACCCTGTGGTTAAACCTCTGTGATCCAGCAGAATGAAGGAAACCAAGGAAACTGATCCAAGGCCAGACATAGTTTTTGTTTATCTACATTGTCTTGGCATCTTTACATCTGTACATAACACACTTGGCACTGGTATCCTATTTCTCTGAGCTGTAAAATGAGGAAATGCTGCCGCGGTTCCACACTGATCTCAGCCTTTATGTGATTATTTGGCTTTTGACTATAATTAAACAAAATGTTCAATAAAAAAAACAATAGGTGTGGAAGACCGCGGATGTACCTGCAGCACAAGTAGTAACCAGACAGTGAGGCAACTTCTATGTAACTTTAATTCCACCTTATGGCTCTAAGTGTTATGACTATTAGACCAAGCCTGGATGATTTATTTATGAGAAAACTGGGGAACAAAACACTATAAACTGTCCTTCAAATAAGTTCACATTCTTCAGTGGCTCGTGGTCAACGAAATAAACTCTGAGCTCGATAGTGACGCGACAAAAAAACAGTTTGATAAAACATGAAAAAAACAAATGAAATTAAATGACTTATTCTGCATCAGTCAATTTTTCCTCCAGAATAAAACGTCAAATACTTTTCATTCAAAACTTTTACAATCACTGTGCCGTTGAAACAAGAGGCAGGAAACCAGGTGGAGGGAGACGTCAGTGTATTCATCTGAGCCCCGTGATCTTTGGGAAATATTTATTCATCCGTCATCACTGTCATCTCTCTGAAGTTTAAAATATATACAGAGAGAATATTACAGATGTTCTTCCATCCTCCAGGACGCTGACGTTCACGTCAGTGCGTTCACAGTCGACTCGCCGATGAGAGAGAAGTGATGGTTTATATATATATATAAAAAAAGAGACAGAAGTCCTTGTTGAGGTTCACAGTGTCACAGAGGAGACGGTCAGGAGAACCACCCGTCATGGATCGACCGCAAGAACTGGGTGTCCTCATCAGAGGATCGTGGGTAGTCTGCACGACACACACACACACACACGCACGCACGCACACACACACGCACGCACACACACACACACACACACGCTGCATGTTAATAACAACTTCATGTATTCGACATTATATCACAAATCTAATTTCTAACAGTGAAAGTCAAATTGAGGAAAACAAAATGCATAAAGTTTTTATCAGTGTGTTTGTCACAGTGCGACGTCTCCAGACACCAGCCTGGTTTCTATATGTAACTGGATTTGCATTTACATCTAACTTGTTTGTTTTAGGGCTGCAAACTAATATTTTCATTCATATCAATTTGCTGATTATTTTTTCTTAATTGTTTAGTTTATGAAATGTTAGAAAGTGGTGAAAACTTCAAAAGTCTCGTTTTTCGACCAACAGTTCAAAACCCAGAGAGATTTTATTTACCATCATGTAAGAAAATCTGGAAGCAGCAGGTTTTTGTGCGTTATGCTTAAAAAAAGACTGAAATAACAAACTGATAATTAAATTAGTTGCAGATATTTTTGCTGTGTTTACCTGGTTAGTTTGGGTTTTTTGGGCCGCTGTGAAAACCCGACAGTCAAATTCTGATGCGGACTAAAACACCACACCAAGACCACCTGAAAAGGAGGATCTCGCTTCCTTTGACGTCATGTTTAGTCCTCTTAGTTTGTTTGTAACAAGTCAGCATGAAGACAAAACCAGGACCAGGACTGAGAGGCCTCGATGTGTCTTTGTTTTCTTGGTCCAGGACGAATGAACCAAACTACAGGTGTGAAAGGGTTCTGAGACCGAGGTCAGTAATGATCCTGACCCAGACACCGTCCTATCCGGACGTATATAACCTATGAATTATTGAGAATTATTACACTTTGACGGAGCATTTCTATTTTAACCATCGCAGCTTTTCTAGCCTTTACAGCGCTGGTCACGTGACGCACGCAAACGGTGAGAGACGATGTGGGAGAAAAAAAAGTGTGGAAAGAGGGAGAGAAATAGAAAAGGAGGTGTTACAGCTGTTGTTAACTGTTGAATGTGTTGAGATTGTTTATTATAAAAATGGAAAGAAGAAACATGGAAAGTCCAGCTACACTTTTTATTTTATTTTGTAAAATTGAGCACTTTATTATATTTTTCCAAAAACCCTCTGATGTTCCTGGAAATGATAAAAGAACATAATTATTATTATTATTATCATATTCATCATATCTATATTTCTTTAGCCTGACACGCTGATGAATAAAACATTATTACTTACAATCCATGTTGCCCAGTAAGTCAGATCCCTCATCACTTCTGTACGAGTTGTCTGAATCTTCTGAATCATCGTCGTCGTCGTCGTTGTTGTTGTCATCGTCGCTGTTGCTCCCGAGAAGATCTGCGATCTGTGGAAAAAGAGACTTTACTGAGATTCCTTCAAAAAACAAAAAACCAGCAACAACAGAGACGGAACAAGACGGACCTGGGCGAGGTAATGCTTCTAAAGAAGGAAAGTTTTACTGTTTCTGTTTCCAGTTTTCACCAGAGAAACCAATAATAAGCAGATGAGTCGGGGAGACGGGGACAGGTGACGTCCGCTACCTCTTCGTCTGTGGGGGAGTTGCCTCGGTCCCCGTTTTCCCGGTTGTCGTTATTGGCCAGCTCCTCCATGAGCGGGTCCGTGTCCATGTCGTCATCGTCGTCGTCGTCGTCATCGTCATCTGTGTCTGAAGAATCATCATCATCCTGGTCTTCGTCGTCCTGGGAGAAAACAACATGCGTTAAAAACAAGGGACAGTGTACGAGCATCCTGATCGCGTGTGTGTGTGTGTGTGTGTGTGTGTGTGTGTGTGTGTGTGTGTGTGTGTGTGTGTGTGTGTGTGTGTGTGTGTGTGTGTGTGTGTGTGTGTCTCACCTCATCGTCGTCGTCTCCCTCTTCAGCCAGCTTCTGTCGTCCCACCTCGTAGAGACGACACACCATGTCCAGACTCACCGTGTCCTGGTTCTACAGAGTCAGTTCACAAAGTTTTTTTTTCTCCGTTAGACTAAATAATCATGAAAAAATAAAGATAAAAATAAACAAATGAACTGCTAAATGGTTTTATTTCTGATATGAAAAAGAGCTAAAATTCGAAAAAAAAAAATTTCTTTGACATTTTTTCTGGGAGAAATAATCCATTTAATAAATTCATAAATAATTGTCCAATTAAATCAATAATGAAAATAATCATTAGTTGCAGTCGTAGTATGGGAAAAAAAAGACTTGTTGTGGGTCATAACAACATAGCAAACAAGATCTAATAAAATAATGTTTCACACAGTAGAAACACATAGCACAAACATGTTTATAACACTACCTGCCTCTGTCTGCGTACACACATATTTACAGTAGGACTAGTAGTGACAACACAACAAACAACATGCGCCTTCAGCTGATGTAAAACATGCTAATGAGGTCATGTTGAGGTTTTCTTGACTTACATTTCAAAATATTTAAGTTGAGCCTGGAGCCAGAGATGGTTCAGTTCTCTCACTGATTGTTTATCAGATAACTCTGATTTTATATACATATATATATGCACATATATAAAATCCATGATGGCTCCAGAACTTGCCCACTGTTCAGATTAAGCTTAAATCAGTCAAAGTACCTCAATGACAGCCAGGTAGCAGTCTTTGTTGTCAGTACACAGGTCAAAGATGTTCCTCTTCACGTCCACTGTGGCTGAGAAAGACAGAAGCAAGACAACAACAACAAATATTAGCTCCAAGTTAAATCCAATTCTGTGTCCGGAAAGCAACAACAGCAGAGGCTTGTAGTTGAAGGGGACGTCAGGTGCAGGTGCAGCTGCAGCGTTACCGATGGGCTTGTAGTCTGTAGCATCAAAGGTTCTGAAGGACGAGCCGAAGGGACTCTTCATCTGCTGGTCCATGGCATCAACCTCATCATCGGCTTGAAGCATTGCTGTTCATGAGAGTGCGGAGAAGAAGAAGACCACAATATGTTACTGTTGTACAGCGCACATCGTACGTTAACAATACCTGCTCACACACACAGAGCACTTGTTACAGTACCTCCATACATGATGGTGGCGTTACTGTTGAAGACCACCCTGCACTGGTCCAGGGCAGGGACAGTGTGCAGGAGGTGGAAGGACCTCAGGTCCCACTGTCACCTGCTGTCAAGGCCGACAACTACAGAACAACATGACACACACACACACACACACACACACACACACACACACACATTTCCACCAATTTCCATTAGAAATCAGATGTGCCCCCTCCATCTCTATTTTAAATCTCGGCTTAAGAAACATTTTTATTCACTGGTCTTTCTGACTCACTGACCTTTTAGTCCGTTGTCATGTTTATAATTGTGTATCTGCTCCTTGTTGTTTTCTTGTTAGTATGTTTAGATGTTCTGTATACAGTATATTCACCAGGTTCTTGTGTTTTACTTATTTTATACATTTGGTTTACATGTTGTTATTTATTTTAATGTCCTCTGTACAGCACGTCGGTGTCAGCTCAAGCTGTTTAAATGTGCTCTAGAAATAAAGTTGACTTGACTTGATAAATTTAAACATAATGAATACAAGTCTGACACACAACTTGCTGTACAATGGTGCAAACAAGATAGTCTTAATGCTAAGCTACGCTAACTGGCTGCTGGTATTTGGTATCTGATCCGACTCTCAGTGAGAAAGTAAATAAGCATGTTAAAGCATTTAAATCTAGTCTACATTTCAACCATTAGGCAGCAGAAAACAACAGAGTCCAACTATTAACATTAAGTCAAGAGAAGAAGAAGAAAAGTAAACAAAGCAAAATGTCTCATTTTCACTCTGTTGTGTTGTTTTTGTTTTATCTTTACAGATCCGTGTGTATTTATGTCACTGATGATCCTGGTGGTTTGAAAATAATTATTCAGAGGATACAATCTCAGTGTTGATGATGACCTCCAGGCCGTTGGGATGGAAAACGCCGCTGATGTTCATGTTGAACTTGTCGAACTTATGGATGGCCCGAGACACCCGCACGTCCCACAGCACCCCGTCGTTCAGCACCAGGTCGTCGGTGGGGTTGAAGGTGGCACAGTTCCTCTTGTAGTTGTTGGCCAGGGCGGGGTCGTTCAGGGTCAGAGTCTTCTGACCCGTCTGGATGTCGTAGATCTGCAGCACAGACGGAGAAGAGACATGAGACGAGCTAAACACCAAGGAGGGGAATGTGAATGGTGATTGGGAGGGTGCGATACTAGGAGAGTGAACTGGTCAGTGGCAATGAATCGTGACAGGGGCATTGTGGGTAACCTACATGTGCGACTTGGTCCTTGGTGCCGATGACTCTGTCCTGAGAGAGTTTACTGAACTCGACGTAGTGATCGTCCACAAATGAGTTTCTGGGAATAAAAACAAAATGTTTCAGCGAGATTCCAAACACCATCGTTCGAACACCAGGAGAAACAACAGCGTGCAAAGTTAAAACCGGGTGTGTGTGTTTTACTTCAAGCTAAAGACACCGTCCATACTCCAGAGGGCCGACAGCGGGACGCTCCAGGAAGCAGAGGTAAGCAGAAATTTCCCGTCCTGAGGAACACATGACACACAAGATTTAACTTTTATTTTCTATCATTTAAATCATTTCACTAAACTTTCATTCAAGAGAAAAGAGTCAAAACAGACAGGAGACTGTTACTACAAAACACTAAAGATTAACTGACGTGTGCTGATGTTTTTCTGTTCTGCTCAAAAAACCTGCAGCAACATTTTGGCCTTTTACAGCTGTTTCTCTGAAAAACATCTGCCTGCCGCAGCCGAGGACGACGCTCTGAGACTGAAGCTGTGTCCGGACCATAGACTGTAAATAAAGACGGATGGAGCCTCCGTGATGTCACCCACAAGTTTCTGAAGCTCAGAGTGAGCTGCTTTGCTGTCGCCATCTTGGCAGTGCCTGACTCCGCCCCTAACTCCCAACTAAAGCCAATATGGTCAAAGAGGAGGAGCATGAGTGGCAAACATACGCTCACCCACCTGTCACTCAAACAGGCCACGCCCTCAATCCTCAATAACTTTAGTCCTTAATAAAATGTAAACAGGTGAGTTATATAAACAGGTGTCATGAAGGAGGAAATCAGCTCTACAGACCAAAACAGGCTGTAAACATGTTTATTTCTGCTGTAAAGTTTTAACATGGGAGTCTATGGGGACTGACTCACTGTTGGAGCCAGACTCTAGTGGTCGTTAGAGGAACTGCAGCTTTTAGAAGTTGCTGCTCGATCCCGACAGATAAACAATGAGCTGAAACGTCACTATAAAGTTCTGTGAAGCTGCAGACTCATCTGATAATTCTCTGTAGGTTCCTCACTACGAGCGACACTTCTAACATTACACACCGTCATAAAATATCGATTATACCCACTTTAACAGTACCCACTTTAACAAGTGTCTTTCAGCCGTCACTCTCTTTCTGTCAGTTATTCTTAATCTTGAAGGTTCAACAAAACTGCATCATTTGATTTGCTCTAATATGACAGCAGGTGTTTTGAACTGTGTGTGTGTGTGTGTGTGTGTGTGTGTACGTACCCTGGAGGGTTCGAGGTGTGTGATGGCTGACGTGTGGCAGGTGTAGTTGGCCTCCTCCTCTCCGGAGAAGACGTTGTAGAATTTGAGGTGACCGGAGCAGGTCCCCAGCATCAGGAAACGCTCGCGGGCTGAGAAGGCACAACAGGTGAAGCCGCTCTCGTCTCCGTCGCCCTCGTGGAAGACCGACATCGGACGAAACCTAAGGCGACGGGAGAGACGCACAAAGACAGGAGAGAGACGGGGGGGATGACGCCTAGTTTCCACTCACGCTACTCGATGTTATTATTTTTAAAAAGGACAAACTCTGCGTCTCTTTCTGTCTGTTCGTTACCTGCTGAATATCAGATGTCTGTCCAGACACGCTCTGTCCACTCCTCCGTACTTCGGGTACAGCACCCTGCTCCCCAGGCGGGCCGTGAAGTTGGGCGACGCCTGTCGCCTCTGCTTGGGCTCGGGGCATCGGTGGGGGGTGAAAAGGGAGAAGGGGGGGCAGGTGGTGACAGGATTGGGGCAGCGGGCGTGTTGTTCCCTCAGGTACTCGGTGATGATGCTGTCAAGGGTCGGGGGGGAAGGAAGGTGGCGCTCCAGCTGCTTCTTCATGGCAGGAGTCTGATCAACAGAGAGAGAATGGTTAAATCCTGTACGGATCAGTCCGTCTTTGGTTTGGTCCGTGTCCCGTCCTTTGATTGTTGCCGCCATAAGTGTCTCTGTTTCCTAACATATACAGCTTCATAAACAAGAACCTAAACAGTTTAAACTGAGCTGCTTTTGGGTGACGGACAAAAAAAAGAAACAGCGTCTTTTTCCAGTTATATTCTGCGGCTGTATCGAACCTCTGACGTGCTGCTGCTGCTGGTTTCAGCCTCAGTATTTTGTCGACACTGAGGATGAGGAGAGGCCGTGTGTGTAAACCCTCCTACAACAGATCCACACTGACACTCCTGTCACTGCGTGGATGTGGAAACTTTGGCCGAAGTGTCTAACAATCACTTTTGTCCGACTAACAGCCCAAAACTTGTGATGACAGAACTCGCACCTGAGAAACTGACACTAGATGAACGACTGTAAGAATCGTCATTGGTTAATTTTGTGTCAAACCACTAATTGATTAATGGTTTCATCTTTAAAAGACCTGGTTTAACCTCGTTAACGTGTCCGTATGTTGTAACTGTTGTAACAGGCCGCCATCAAGTCGGACACCTTCTTCTTCCTGTCGAGTCAGTGACAACACTGGCCGGCCTCGCGGTCAACAGCTGTCAGACTGTTTTTGCAAAATCTATTCACACGGTTTCCATTTTCTGTCTGTTGACACATCTAAGTAAAGTTAAAGTGTCACATTAAATACCTGCTGGAGCAAAACTTTTAGTAGATAACAGTTTTATTTTCTTTTTGTTTTACTCAGAACTAGAGACTGGAGAGTGATGTCATCACCATTACACCATACACAACTGGAAACAAGAGGAAACAGGGAGGGGTGTGTTTGAAGAGCAGAGTCGGCGCTGTGGAGTGGGTGGAGATAAAGGCGGGGCTAATATTAGCATATCCATGGATCTGCGAATACTAAATGAGGCACAGCTGTAGAGTTATATTTCAGGCCGTGAAGGGATCATTTCATTCGTCGAAAACTTTTCAACGTGTAATCTTGAGGAACAGAGATGAGTTTTTAAAAAAGGTTGAATCATCGTCAGGAGAGGAAATGTAATGAATAAATAAATAATAAAACAAAACAAACCCATCACTGACCTGTATGAAAGCACCGTGGTCAGACTTCTGCTTCAGCGCGCGAAGCTTTTTCCCTGAGTTGCTGGACGCCACTGGGCGTTCCCGTGTGAACAAAATCCGGCCAGCCAGATGTGAGCCCTGCCCAGCATGAGGAGGATGAGGAGTTGGAGGAGGAGGAGGGGGGGGGTGGGCAGCGGCGGGTAAAGAGGAGCATGAGGGGTGAGGGCTGATGAGGGTGCGGGAGGGAGGCAGAGACGAGGTGGAGGAGACCGCGGTGACCGAGGACACGGGAGAGGATCCGACGTGGCTGGCAACACGAGCCGCGATCCCGCCGGCGAGCCGGCAAGTCCTGGGGATCAGTGGGGAGGGGGAGGGGGGAGGGGTGACGCAGGAGGAAGAGTTCGGACAAAGGGATCCTACGGATAAATTTGCCTCCTTAACGAGCGTGTTCGCCGTGTCGTGGAGCCCTTTCGCCACAAGGTGGTTCCTGATCAGCATGAGGAGTTCCTTCTCAGAGAAGGTGATCCGCGACTGGGCGACCACGTTGGCCCTCTGCAGACGAGCCAATGACACGTCGGTACCCATGAGCAGAGGCTTCCCGGACACTCGCTCCGTCATCTCGGCGGCGTAGCGGCAGAATCGCACGTGCTCGCTGCGTTTGTCCTGCAGCACCGGCTCCTTCATCAGCTGAGGAGGTGAAAACATCGGAAACAACACGTCAGTATTTGTGGGGCGATGATGATGATGGACGTTACTGCTGGAGATGAACACATCCACCTTCAATTCTCACATATGACAGAAACACAAACCTCTATTTTCAATTCAGTCAATATAAAATATTAAACTGTTTTTTCTTTTTGCATCTGGAGACAGATCTGCACCAAAAATCATCACTAACTTTGGGTCTTTGTGCTAATTTTTAACATGAATTGCAGCTTCAGTTCTTATCTTTTTTTATTTTGTCGCAATTATTTTGTGGAGAGTTCTGGTTGAAAATGTTGCGCTCGCCTGTTGGATGTGGCCGCTGGTGAACAGCGGTAGTTTGCTGATGATCTGTCTGATCGCTGAGCTGCGAGAGAGTCCGACCAGAGCCTTGCAGGACAGAGCTCGGATCAGGTCTGCGTCTGTGATGGGCATCTTCACCGACAGCAGAGACAGCAGCACCTGGGAAAGACGACAGGTGGGGGATTAATGGATGATCCTTTTCTTTTTTATACTATTTTATAATCTCCATCAGAAAAACATGAAGTTGCAGTTGCAGGTTGCAAAAATGAAACACACACGTCTACCCATCTTTTTCCCCCACTGCTTATCTGCTTTACTCATAAACATAAAATCCTATCATTCTCTTTCCGTTCTCACCTTTATACCGTTGTTGTTCTGCACTACCTGCCACATGTGGGCCAGCACCCTGTTGTGGGGGGCGGGCGGCTGCTGGGGGTGAAGGGACGGCCTGAGGGGGGTGACAGCGAAAGCACCCACCGTGTTCAGGCTCTGGTCTGGAGCGCACACACAGTTTATTATCACCTGGGAGGGACAGAGGTCAGAGGTCAGAGCGGAAACAAACAGCCAGTACTCCATGTTCAAACCAGCACCTGACTGTTGCCTATGTTTTAAAGCCGCCTGTTCACCTGTAGCGCAGACTTTTGGATCTCGGCATCGTTGACGAACACCTCGCCCTCCGCGACGCCCAGGATGATGCTCATACCTGCGGCGCAGATTCACAGAAAAGACAAAAAAGATCCTAAAGCTGAAACTCCCGAATCATTTTCAGTTAAACAGACAAAAACAAAACAAAAACCAAAGAGTTTTACTGACCCACAGTGGAAACAAGAGACCTGGTTTCATCCAAAATGTCTACTGTGTCCGCTAGCACCAGCTGGACTTTGGGAACCACCGTCAGGATGGCGAGGATGTCCAAGGCGTAACGCACTGTGTCACTCCTGGAGAGACAGAACGAGACGTGTGAAGTCACTCGTCGAAGTTGTAACCGTGTCAATACAGACTCGCAAAGACGGACAGCGGTGAAAACTTTACCTGCCGTAGTAAGTCCTCCAGTCGCAGGCCGTAGAAATGAGCTGCAGCATTAAAGGAACACAGGACAGCTTGTAGAAAACCTCCACCGGTTCCCATTGGAGCTGAGGAGGCCCGCACTCGATCAGAAACTCCATCATCTCAATAACCTGCTCTCTGGTGTACGTGTACGCCTGGAAACAAGAGAGACGCACAAGCACATAGTTCATATATATACAGTATATATATATGTTTGAGGGCAGATGATTGGTAGAAGTCCTTCTTCCTGTTCCTTTCTGACATTCCTTAAAAAATGGAAATACTTAGAAAAAACAGTGTTGTATTGACAGATGAAAATGGCTGATAAAATGTTTTGGTTTTAATTTTAACGTGAGAACATGTTAGAACATGTTAGAACATGTTAGTACATAAAAATGTACTAAAATATTACAGGAAAGATGTAAAAAGACTTGACAGGACGCTGTGTAAACAGGACGATTATAAATCCACCACATACCTTGTAAAATGGCTGCTGGGGAACAATGGTGCCTTCGTCTGATGTGTGCAAAGACTGCTTCACCTGTTCTGCCTTTACCGCCAGGTGAGCCTCAAAGTACCTGCACAAAGTCCAAGAAATGATCAATAATGCAACGTGACACACAGCTGCAGGAGGCACAGCATCAAAAACTCACATGAAACTACAGACACATCCACCCTTCCATCACTGTACCTGCGCAGGGCCATGCAGGTGTGCTTGGCCGTCTGTCGGCTGGAGAAGACCTGGTCATCGCTCACCATGGACACCTCGTTCTCCATGTTGAGGATCTCCAGAGTGCTGACCTGCGGGGGAGAGGATGAGACTCCAGCTCTTTTTAATTTCATTTTACAGAAAGGTGCCATAAGAACGCGACGATGCGTCTGGCGCGGCACTGACCAGGTTGACGAGCCGCCGCAGGCCGTCCTGGTTGTCGAAGAGCTGCAGCACGGCCCTGAAGGAGAAAGAGATGGAGAAAAACATGGTGGCGTGGCAGACGCCTGAAGCGTGGGACGACTCCAGCAGCCAGAGAGCGTAGGACACCATGTCTGACAGCACGCCGTCCATCAGCATGCACACCTACACACACACACACACACACACACACACACACAACAAATCAATGTGCAGTGGAGGTGGACTCACAATACTTCGCCTACCTAAAATTACATTACATTAAAGCTGCCTTAAAAATGTTGTTAGTATAAAAAACAGTAGCAGCTAAAATGACCTCACTTTGCAAATCGTCTTTGTTAAAAGGTTTAAATCAGTGCGTGTGTGTGTGTGTGTGTGTGTGTGTGTGTGTGTGTTGTCCGTACCCTCTCCATAGCGTCCTGGTTGTAAGCCAGATAGTACAGGCAGAGTGAAACTCCAGTCGCTGCCATAGACGGCCTCGGGATCTCCAGAAGTCTCTGCACTCCTCCGTGAGCGATGAACTCCGCCGCAAACTTCTTATGGAGGAGCAGCGAGGCGAGATACTGAAGAGAGGACGAGGCGTGGTAGAACAATACATTGTTTTTAATTACAATCCCCTGAATTCATTAAGAGAACTTCAAATAAGTAACCAGGTAAATGACTGAGGAGGACGTGTGGTCGAAATGTTGTGACTTAAAGAAGAACTGGGAACAAGACAGAAATGTGTTGGTACTTTATTTTTTTGTTTGTTTTTCCCTGAGGTGATTGTTGTTTCCAGCACCTGCATGAATGTCTGTACGTGCGTGACTGTGTGCAGTCGACACGGCTGCACTTTTCTAGGGCGCAGCAGCTGTGAACAGGAAACCACGCCCACGTCTGTCAGTTTTGAAAAAATCCAACATCAAAAAGAGAAAAAGAGAAAAGAGAAATCCTAAAACAGGTGGCGTGACACCTCAACACAGAGTGGAGGGAGGTTTCTACAGAAGGAAGATAAATACTGACAATTCTTTAAAAAAATACTGGCTGTATAATGCTAAAATGTGTGTGTGTGTGTGTGTGTGTGTGTCATCTGTTAATTTTACAAACCACAAATCTTCTCTTACCAGAGTTCCTTCATGTTCACCAGATAAATCAAAGACTTTTAAGACCTTTTTAACACCACAGAGAAAGTAATGTAATTCATATTTTCATGGCTGTAAAAGTATATATATATATATAATAAGGCCTCCACAATTATTTATTAAGTGCATGAATTTATTGGCATTTTTAGTCCAGCTGGATATAACCAAAATAAATCATCATGAATCCTGTCAGATCAAATCATGGGGATAAATCCTCGTAATATAATTAATCGATTAACCTGGAGTTAGACAAGCTGCAGGAAAACCAACGGATGGATTTACCAATTAAAAATAATCTAATTAAGTTTTTGGCAAAACTGTCTCCTGTCCATTATGAGTCGATGAGTCTCTTCACTGTAGCAGCTCAGACCGTTCACCGTCGCAACAACATCTCCTCTAGTTTAAAGTGTGTAACTTCTCATGACAGCTCATCAACAAAAAGAATTAATGTTCATGCTAATCTTTATCGTTTCTTAAAGACTTCTTTTTCAGGGAACTGAATCTGCAGATCAGCTGCTTGTGTAAAACACTTTAGTCTAAATATAATCATCTAAAAAAAAAAAAAAAAAAAGGAATTAAAATTAAACAGTTTTGTGACGTAAAAGATGAAAATAAATTTAATCTTTATGGAGCTTCGTGCAGCCCCACCCACAAAGGTGAAGCTTATCCTTCACACGCAGACACCTCCATGTGAGGGGAGGGGCTGCGAGATAAATGACCGCTCCGCTCAGTCGGTACTTGTCCGACTCTGTAAACAAAAAAAAAAAAAAAGGCATTAAAATTAAACAGTTTTGTGACGTAAAAGATGAAAATAAATTTAATCTTTATGGAGCTTCGTGCAGCCCCACCCACAAAGGTGAAGCTTATCCTTCACACGCAGACACCTCCATGTGAGGGGAGGGGCTGCGAGATAAATGACCGCTCCGCTCAGTCGGTACTTGTCCGACTCTGTAAACTACAATAAACCAAGAGTTTGATTTGTTTAATGAGAAATAAAACAGGCCGTGTGTTTCTGAGACGATCACGTCCGTTTGCAGCAGTTTGTAGAAACATTACTGATGATCTGAAAAAGTTTGGAACATTTCAAAATGTTCTGGGGCAGATTTTTGTCGACTGATGTTTCTTATTGTTATTTGATATAAAATCACACAGAACTTACAGCGACGGACGACGTGTGAGGAAACATGAGTAAAAATGATCTTTTCTACTTCTGGAGCCTCGTGAGGAAAACGTTTCTTACCAGGAGCGCGTCGAAGATGAGCTGGACGTTCTTGGTCTGCCTCAGGTCGATGTAGTTCATCAGCAACGAGCGCGTGTCCAGCTGCATGAAGACGGCGAGCAGCTGAAAAAGGAGACAACGATTACTGACCTCAGTTTATCTAATAAGAGTAAAAAGAGATTAAAGGAGGGAAGGATCTTATTGCTTTTGACGGGTGCTGTGACAGATTTCAGCCTTTCCCTCTGGGGAGGATTACTTTTAGATATTTGGTAATATCAATAAACAAAAATTAATTAGCAATTTTCTGCAGTACCATCTTGGGAAGTGTCTGTTTATTACTTTCTTTTTGCATGAGTCTCCCCCAGGTATCTAATGACATATCTCTGGTCATTTTAGCCTCCCTCTCCTTCATGTTTGGTGTCACGGACACTGAAGATTATGTTTTTATCCTCGTTTCTAATTTGTAATTCTGTAAAAGACTCTTCTACTGTCTTAATTGTCGATATCTAGAGAATTCAGTCCCTCCTTTCCGTCCCCGAGTTCATCACACATTTCAAACGCTTGGTTTTATCTGCTGCTCTTGTGTTTTGTGTTTGTTTGTGACCCGCTGAGAACGAGTCATGTTTAGTCTGTCCGTCAGTCTCACCTCCTGGTAATCTCCGAGCGGCGTCAGATACTGCAGGATGAGCCTCTGCTCCATGGCCGGGCTCAGCGGGCAGAGGCAGTAGTCGGAGCCAATCACCATCGAGCTCATCTCAGACCAGGAGGAGCTGTTGCCAGGCTGGTTGCTGGCGTCGGTCCTCTCCGCCTCCTCGTCGGCCTTGTTGGACGAGCCGGAGGTGAAGTTGAGCTTCTGCTTAGCCTTCCTCCCGTTCTCCTTTACCGCCCGTTTTTTCCCTCCTCCTCCTCCTCCTCCTCCTCCCTGTTTGTCATCCGTCTCCCTGGAGGCCTGAGGGTCCGGGCTCGCTTGGTACACAAAGTCTGGAAGCAGCCGGGTGGAGCTGGGCCCACCGCTGCAGCCTCCATTTTTCAGGGCCGACCCGAGCAGGGACAGAGGTTTGGCCTTCGTCCTGCTGCTCTCTCCGTCTCTCTCTTTTCTGTCTTCCTCCTCTCCCACAGCCCCCCCCTCCGTCTTGTCTCGGTCCGTCGAGATGCCTGAGGTCTGAGTGGCTTCAACCTGAGAGTCCTGAGGTAGATTCTGGGGGGTCTTGGTGGGACTGAGGAGATTCTTGGCCTCTTCGGTTTGCAGCTCATGCAGGCGTCGGATCATGACCGGCACCTGGAAACATCAAGTTATTAGAATCCCACATTCTCCCACTGACATGTTCGTCCTCACACATGGAGCCAACTGACAGAAAATTTACTTGTACTTAACTTTGTATTTAACTTTCTACTTCAACTCATTCTACTATATTATATTCTATATTTATATATTTATACAGTGCATATTATTTATTGGTTTCTGTCTGTGTTGTAAATTCTTTATTGTTCAATCTGAATATCTTTATTTATACAGTATCTGATTAGACGCTAACATGCACTAATTTATCTGATTAAATATAAACACTTGAACATAAAAGAGTTAAAGTGACTTTTTCAGGCTTTTTTGCCTTCACAATAAATGATTTACAATAAATGAATGAACTTTATTTAACTGTTAGAAATATTTGTGGAAATCTCTGTTCTCTCATGAAGCAGCACCTGACGGCAAACTTTATTAAACTTGGTGTGAATCCAGAATTCAGAACCAGAACAACAGCAGAGTGAATGACAGGAAGTGTGACGCTCACCAGCCGAGTGTTCTCCTCTCTGTAGCTGGTTGCCACTTCCTGGTTGCTCATGGCTCTGGCCAGCAGCCCCGTGGCGTAGACGCACAGCGGCCGCTCGGCTTCATGAGCCCAGCTGAACAACTTCTCCACCAGACCCTCCTGTCACACACACACACACACACACACACACACACACACACACAGTAAAGAAGAATGAGTAACACTTCTGAGCAGGATAAATATTTATAACACTATGATGTGGCTGTAAACAGACAGACCTGTGAGTGGAGGCTGCTGCATAAACACAACAGCTCTGATTATAAATATAAAGTGTCTCTATGAGGGACGTCCTTATTTTTGACAAATGCTGCACATTAATAAACATTTAAAATGGTCTTATATCTAATAACAACAACAACAATTATAATAATAACATTTTATTTACAGGCGTCTGTCAAGGACTGAGGGAAACCTTACAACACACCGGAAATAAATCTAAATAAATAATAAGAAATAAATATTTGCTATGATAGTGTGTTCAACTATATATTATATAATGATTCTAAATGGTAAATATAGGAGTTAAAGTTAAGTGTCTATTACTGTTTTGTTCAGGTGAGTCATGTGACTTTGATGATTAATATTTATCCTGGTGTTGAAGAAGGTGGAACTGACTCCATATAACTGGAGCATGTATTTAATGAGACTCTGTTCCTTTAATGAGTTATTATTCCTAGATTTCTTGCACCGACACTCGTCAATATGATCAAAGATCCTCCCGACATCTGCTCATTGACATGAAACTACAGTTCATCTTTTATTTAGTTTCACCTTCTCCTGGAAGACGACGGCCGTCTCCAGACCCGGCATGATGTTCTGGAGCAGACGGCAGGCGGCTGTGTTGAGGTTCAGCTCTCTGCTGGTCATTATGTACGTGTCCAACAGCTGGAACACACAACGCAAAGTAATCGATTCAAACTTTACTTTTATTTAGACACATGAATACTATTAACAAAGACACTGTTATATTCAAATTATTCTTGTTTATTTGAAAGATCTCTGTATCTATATTTGCTTAGGAGTCAGACCGGCCGTTACAATGATTATTACAGCTGCAACGATCAGCTGATTAATTGATTGGTCGATCAAAATAAAATGAATCAGTGACTGTTTTGATAATCCACTCAGTAAAAAAGTAAAAATGTCAAATATTTGCTGGTTTTAGCTTCTCGTGTGAGAACTTGCTGCTTGTTTTGTCATGTGTGAAAGTTTATCAAATGTCTGAGTTTTGGACTGAAGAACAGACAAATTAAGAAACCTTTAAAGTTTTAAGTTTTTATGGGTATTTTTCACTATTCTTTACATTTGATAAACTAAAATAAACTACTGATTAATGAAGAAAACAATCGGCTGACTAACAGACTCCCAGCCTTCAAACCACCACAGTGCACGGTTGAATAAAACAAATTGAGCAGTTCTCACCGCATTGGTGAAGTCATCATTCATAAAGAGCATCTTCAGGAGTTGTCCCAGCATGCAGTCTGGGTCCGCCCGTCCTGCAAAGTCAAGACAGAAGTGAGAAACTCAACAACCCATCACAAACAATTCAGAGAAGCTTCGGTTCAGCTCAGAGAGACGAGACGAGCCGTGACAACCAGAACATCAGTCACCACATGTAGATCACAAAACTTGTGCTTTTACAACAGAAGACAGAACGGTTATGATGCTGGATGACAACCTGGGTGACGGTCATCGAACGGATCAGGGTCTGCTTTGTGATACTCTCCTGTCTCCCGTTCGATCAGCTCCGATATTCTGCAGAAAACACAGAGATGAGACACGGTCACCTCCCTCAGAAACACCCAGAGACAGACGGATGGAGCTGTGTCTCATCCACACAGCATCAAGATCATCGTCGAAAACAAACCACTAACTTAGTGAGGATGGACACCAGTTTCTCCGTGGTGCCGTGCTGGGCTTCTTCCCATTCGTCCAGCAGTGTGGCGAGATTCGCCTTGGCGTCCACAGCCATAGCAATGGCCATGGCAGCCGACACAGCAGCCGACAAGGCGGACGACAGGGCAGCCGTTGGCTCTTCTTCTGGGGAAGACATCGCTGCCTAGAAGACAGGAGGAGGAGGAGGACGAGGGAGAGTTAATTTCAAAAGTTTTGGACATATGAATCTGTGTCCACACCAAAGACAATAATTTAACACACCATCTGTGCAATATCACTTATCTGCTGCTATTTTTTTGTTATATTTAAATATTTAATTGTACATATTATTATATTATGAATCTTTTTTAAGTACTTGATTTTGTCATTTTGCAGTTTTTTCTTTCTTTGTTCTGCCACTTTGCTGCTGTAAAGCTGCAAAATCTTATCTCATCTTTCCCCTTACATGTGGAGAATGTGAATTATAAGCCAGGGCATCTCTGTAGCACCACACTGCTTCACTTATAACGGTGTGTTGTGACACGTTTTTACCTTCATCACAAAAACTGCAGCTCCTGCGATTTGGATCTTGCACTTGACCATCTTGCAATTTTGATAATGTTTAAAATAATAATTGTCCAGCCCTGTTTAATACCTTCTCATCCTTTTTGAAGAAACTACATTCATTCACCTGCAGATGCTCTGTGTAAACAAACACACCTGTGTGAAACTGAGAGAAGAAGATGGAGGCACGGGCTTCACTTTAATTTCTCTCACCTCTGCTCCTCAACATCATCTCGTCCTTGTTGTTGTTTTTCTTTTTTAATCTGTTTTCTGTCTCCTAACACTCACCATGAGTCTGAGTGAGGCTCGCCGTCGAGGCATCAGAGCAGGTTGTGTCAGACTCTACAGGAGATAATGAGAGTTGAATTTGCCCGTGTGGTGTTGTGAGTCCGCACCAACAGGTGGCCTCAGCCCGGGACAGCTGTCTCCTCCGCTCAGAGACACTCTCTGCTCTCGCAGCTAACGCGGCAGGAAGGTGACAGTTAGCACACTTAGCTAACTCTCCTACACCCTCGCAGCCTCTTCCGCCTCTTCCGCATCTTTTTACTAAGTATCTACAGCCTCAGTCCTCGCCCTGCCTCCGGTTAGTGTCATCCGGAGATAAGGCGTGGAGTCCGGGGTGAAGGCAGGCAGCAGCAGCATGTTGACAGTCCGTTACACCAGATCAGACACAAACAGCTTCAGCTAGCGACTCGGCACAGTTTTAAAATGTTCACTCACCTGGAGGGAAACGTCTTCTCCGCGGAGCTCCTCGGCTCGACTCGCTGTTTCTACAAATTCAGCTCAATTCACAAACAAATGAAACGACGCGGACGTTAAACGTTTTAGGGCGAAAAAAAAGTTTCACGTTTATTTTCAAACTTCTCCCGGCGGCAGCACGTTCCGTCACCGAAAACGGTCGACGTTAGATGACGACAGACGGCGAACCGCATCATGGGAGTTGTAGTTCGAAATTGGAGTTGACCTGTTTGAGATGGATTACGTACTCAAATCAGATAAATAGAATAAAAAAATAAAAACAATAAAAAATAATTATTATTTAATAATTATTTATTTATTTTTATTGTTTTTATTTTTAGGTCACAACTGTCTTATTATATTAATAATAATTATTATTATAATTATAATAATAACTAACTTCCTGAATAAATTTTGAATGTGCCTGCTGCTTGGTGCGTGTCCATCACACGTTTCAATCTGTACAGTGGACATTACTTTGATTTTCGTTCATGTTGTAGAGAATTATCCTGACTCTGACCTCAGCCACTGCAGGTGTCCCTCAAAAAACACTCAAAGTCCACTTACTACCACTTTAACCACATCTCACAGATGGTGCTTGAGATGCAGTTGAAAGCTCCTTAAAATCGAGCAGCTAGTGCTAAGTGTTGATATCTTGAAATGCTAAAACCTGTTAAGACCTATACCTCTTTAAGGTCATAATTTATTTTATTAATTGTAATCATGTTTTAAAATGTTCCTCATTAATGTTCTTTGTTTTATCCATTTAATCAAGTCTTTATTTCATTCTTAAGTCTTTATCATTAGCTTTTCTTTTTCAGTTATTTCTTGTGTACATGAGTCTCAAATTGTTTTACTGTTATTCTAATATTTTCAGCTTCTCAGTCGTCTGTAAAACACTCTGAACTGCACTAACACTGTATGAAAGCTACTATACAAAAAGTTTTAGTTTAATTGAAAAAGCTAGGAACGTTTACTTGATCATTTATCAACAAATGTCTGCAATAATAAATGAGAAGTTTTGCTTTCCTTTAATCCGTCTTAAAATGTTTTTGTCTATGTAATAAAGGCTTCAAATGTACAAACAAGTGCAAATAGTTTATTGAGCCTGTTGGACAAAAATGCATTCTGCTCTCAGTGAGAAAAATAGTCAATCGATTAACGCACTTTAAATATTTTTGAATTGCACCTGCTTCCAGATGCTTGTTGAAAAAAAAAAAAAAGCCTTACAAAGGGATGAACCACATGAGACAGTAAAGGATTCAATATCTAAAGCAACAAACAAAGAGCTGCCAGTTTCATTTTCACTCTGCTGCCAACAGGTTCCCTACACCCCCCCCCAATTCAAATACTGTCCTTTAAGAAAACCACTTTCTCTCTATGTTCAGAAACACAAGACGATATGGCTTTTCAATCATTGAGTGACATCACTGGTGATGGACACACACTATTCTATTTCTTTACAGGGATCAATAAACACCTGCAACGATCACCTGATTAATCAATTAGTCAACTGAATGAAACTTTATTGGCAACTGATTAATTTAAGTGAAATAAAAAGAACCCACACGCTGTGCTTTTTAAGATACGCAAATGTGTTTTCTTTACGTCGCAGTAAATTGTTGATCGGACAAAATGGACGTTTGATGACATCACTCCTGGCTTTAGGAAATTATATTTGGCATTTTTAACATGTTTTCTGATGTAATACAGGCCAAACAATTAATCAAAGTAACAACTGGCAGATTAATCAATCATGAAAGTAATTGTTAGTTGCCCTTGATCAACAGTTCACTAAATTATTCATCATACGTTGCATGGGACTACTCGACACTTGCGTCGTTGGTATTCACACATTTTTTAGCCAAACATTCAAAGCTGGAATTGATCAAATTGATCATGTGTGTTTTTTGTTTTTATTTCCAGATGCGTAGGAAGCCTTCAGCTCAGCTAGTGTGTTTTCAGTTTGTCTCCAAACAACGTCATCACGAGTCCATACAGGAGCCCGCCTGCGAGGATGACCACAGTGCTGGATACGGGACCAAACGACATGAGGGCTCCGAACACGTAGAGAGCAGCAGCAGCAGCATCGTCCTGTAGCTCGCCAGCGGGCGCAGGCTCAGCCGAGGCAGGCGGTTCCTCTCTAGTCCGCGCGGGACAGCGGGCTGTGCTTTAGTTTTGTGCTGGAATCGTGATCTGTCAGGTAGCAACGACCCAGGCGACCCAGGAAGTCTGGACGTGAGCAAGGCGCATTCATGTGCCCCCCGAACTGTGGGAGGATAAAATATAAAAAATAATGATGATAGAAGAAGCAAATACATTCAAACAATGTAGTTGTGAAGACACATTTTGTTGGCAGCACTCACCTGTCATTGACCAGAGAGGAGATCCTGTAGAACAGCCTGACCAGCAGGGCGCTCTCATAGCTCCTAATGGGCTGGAGCTCCGGGTCTCCTTGATACTGGATGTCAAACCTGCGCAGTCCATTCATGATCTAACACAACACA